TAATTAATAATAATAATATGATATAATAATAAAATTCTATTCTATAATTATTTATTAAAGAAAATAATTTTTATATATTTTTTTTTTTTTATACATATTTTATATTTTTTTGATTATTTCTAATTCAATACTATACAAAATAAAAATAAAAAAATTAACAGTAGTAAAATTTATATTATTATCAACTACAAACAATATTTTTTGCAGCACATTGTTTTTCAATTTTTTGCATTTCCACAAGTATAGTTGCTATAGCATGTCTTAATTGGTGAAACTTTGGCAAAGATAATTCAAATATTTGACGTTTTCCATTATTAAATGTCCATTCCATAATAATATATGGTTCTAAGACTCTATTTAATACACTAAAAAGATTCAAACTAATAAGTAATATTTCTTAAATATTTATAAAAAATATTTTCTAGGTTACATTACATATTTATTATATTACAAATATTAAAATTTAATAAAAATATGAAATTACCTGGATGAAATAGTAATATCTATGCGCCATTTACAAGATATTAAATGTGGATAAAATTTTGTTTTCTGTATTAATCCTGATATTAGTTCTGACCGCTTTTGACCATATACAACTATAGAAAGATCATCAATACATTCTGGTGATAATCTAAGGAAACAATATTATATATTTTTATTATATTAAAATTAAAAATAATGAAATAATTATATAATATTTATAAAATATATACCTCAATTCTTCTAATATTTGTTTAAATTCTATAGGTTTGACATTTTGTGATAATGTACTTAAATGAATCTTTAATATTGTAAAAATAATTGAATAATATTCATCTATAATTTCTTCTGATACATTGTATTTTTGACTTATTCTATCTAATATGCCTTCTTCTATGTACTCTTGATTTATTGTTTTTACAGCTACTATAAATAATAAATTGCAATTTTTTTTCAAAAAATAAAATATTTAGAATATGATAATAAAAAATATACATATGCATACAAAAACATTATTATAATATTATTTATTATTATAATATTATTATTATAATATTATTATTATATATTATCATATTATACTTATTATAATATTATATATATTATTTAAACTAAACTTACTTTGAATCAAAGGTCGAACAAATACTTTTTTTAATTCTGAAAGAATTTTTGTTTTATTTCCTAAAGCATAAAAAAGTTGAGTTTGAAAAGTTGTCATTTTTTTAATCCTGAGTTTTTTTTCTATAAAAAACAATGAATCGAAAGAATTAAATAAATTAATCTTTTCTTTAAAATTTAAAAGTAATAATAATAAAGTAATACTGTTCTATCTAAATTTATTGTTTTGATTTGTTTTCAGTGTTTAATGCCATCTTGTGGAGAATATAATAAAAATATAAGTATTTTTAAAAAATTTTTAAAATATCAAAACAAATAAAATATGAGTAATAAAAAAATTTTATTATTATCAAATTATATTATAACATAAAATAATAAATGATAACATAATATTTTATTATATTTTTAGAGAAATGTATTTAGAAATCAAGAGATGGCATTGATTTTCAATTCTTACTTTATCTTACATTATCTTTGAAAAAATGCCTTGAGCATTCAAGAGATAGCACTAATAGTTAATTCTTATTCTATTTTTATTCTTTTTATCATTTACTTTCTTTTTTTACATTTGTTTTATTTATGACATTCTGGAAATAACGTTGATTTCATAATTTTTAACCTCTTTCTTCTATTATTTACTTAAATTCATCATATAAAATCATATAATTTTGATTTTTAAATAGCAAAATACAATTGCAGAAATGATGAAGCCAGAAATGAATAAATTCTTTGAGAACTGTGACTATATGGATAAATAATAAAGATGAGGTTTGTTAAAGAAGAATTATATAAATATTCGTATTTTCATAGTTAGCTGTAGGTAAATTATGTGAGCGAATACTTTATTTTAAATATTTATTTTAATTTTTAATATTCTATTAAAATTGATAGTTTTAAAAATATAATTTATATATAAAACAGAATATTATATTTGTTGATCCCATTTTATACATTTTTATTTCTCTTTTGCTTTCTGAACAACAAATGATATATTTGTATTTAAATTAGTTGAATAATTATATTTAAAAAATAAGACATCGATCTTTTAAATCGATAATAAGTTTTTCGATTTTAAGAAAACTTTAATTTTATAATAAAATTATTATCAGAATATATTAAGAAATAGAAAATAATTATTAGTTTTTAACTTCATTCATATTGTATACATAAAAAAGATATATATTGTTAAATATCATAAAATAATAAATAATATAATATTCTTTAATAAAAATTATTTCTTTGATGATACAACTGACCGTGTGGCCTAATGGATAAGGCGTCGGACTTCGGATCCGAAGATTGCAGGTTCGAGTCCTGTCACGGTCGTTTCAAGTAATTTTTTTTTATTCAAAATTTTTATAAAAATCAATATATTATATTTATTAAAGTAATATTTTTATTCGTATACATATTATTTGTACATATTCGGAAAAAATTAATTGAGCAACACTAATCAAAAAATTATGTTTATTATTAGAAATTCAATCATTTAATAAGTTCATTTAATTAAATAAATAATTTCATTAAATAAATAATTCATATCTTTTTATGAATTTAAAATCTAAATACAAAAAAAAAATTAAAAATTTTAATCTTTCATCTGGATTAATATATTTTATATTATTATATTATATTAATTTCTTTACAATTTATATAATTACGTACAAAATTACGAAATTATTACTTTATTATTAATTAACAATAATTAATTATAAAAGATAGTATTTAATTTTTATTAAATACTTATTATATCTTTATATAAATTTATAAAAAAATGAAAAAATATTTCCTTCGAGCCGGATTTGAACCAGCGACCTATGGATATCTGAGAATTTCTAAGGAAGCCAACTACAGTCCACCGCTCTACCAACTGAGCTATCGAAGGTTTTATGTTTGAGGACCGAAACTGACAACAAAATAAGGTTAATTAGTATATATATAGATTTAAAAAATAATTTAATTTACTTTTAAATTATATATACTCTATATTTATAATTATATATTATATTTACTTCTACATTTATTTTTATTATTTTTAAATTTTACAGAATTAGATGTGGAATCTAATTTTATAAAACCAATCAGAAACTTAAAATATTTTAACAAACTATTTCTAGTAGAAATTATAAATAACTTAATATAGAAAATAATAAGAAGAAAAGATAATTGATACACTTTTAGCAAAAGTTAATATTAAATTTAGTTTTTAGTTTTTATTTTTTATTAATGAAACTAATTTTAAGTTTTTCGATGACAAACATCTCGTAACGTGATCTCGAAAGATTTAATTTGATAGAAAAAGATAGAAGAGTCAATGTGCAAGAAATGAATGAAATGGTTTTCGCATGTCCTGATATTATTACGAATACAAAGGTCGAAGCTATTTTTTTATGATGTTACTGCAAACTTCATATTATTCAACATAAAAATATCATGAAATTTTAATTATGTTAAAATTAGAAATTAGAAATTAGAAATTGCAGGTTATGTCATTTTTACAAAAAAATCTTATAAAAATAAGTTTAATAAATTTTATTTTTACGAATATTGTATTTATAATCATTATTTATTTAATATTTATTATTTTTAATATTATTTGACGTAAATCACAAATAATATTATGATTTAACATATTATTTAATCAAAATTTTTCGTTTGATAAAAA